ATGATTAGAAAGAAAACAATCTGTAATTGTTGGCATATAATGATTGTGCAATGTGAAATAAAAACAGCTTGTCAAATGGCTTATAGCCTATGAAGGCATTTTTACCAAGTGTTGAGTAATGTGACTGAATATCAGTAGTTATCAAAAATCAATTCCATAAATCAGTAATAATAATTAAGACAGTAAGACTGATTTTTAAGAAGATTTTTAAAAGCCAGATGTGGTGGCTCACTGTGCAAACTCCAGGCCAGCTGAGGCGTCAGGGAGACCTTGTCTCAAAAAAGACCAAAAAAAAAGAACATCAGTCAAAATTCAAATATAAAATATGCAAGACTGTTTAACAGAAACCTAAAATTCAAAATTGAGAGAAACTATAGAAGGCACCAATAAATGAAGTAATAAAATCCAGTGCTTTTAAATATGGTAATTCTTCAAAAGTAGTCTATGGATTCAAGTCACAAATAGAATTGCTGCATTTTGAAGAGGAGATTGAAAACTTTATTCTAACAATATTTTTAAAAACACAATGGGGGGGAACCCATGTAGCCAAACTATAATTAGATCAAGAAGATGGATTTACTCTATTTGCTATCAAGAGCTATCATAATTGCATTGTTCTATCGCTTAAAGACTGAGAGAACAGAAAACCTGGAAATCATTTCATACAGACACTTTAACTTAGAAGTTTTTTGTTCTGTTTTTGTTGCTTTGTTTTGACACAGAGTCTCATGTATCTCAGACGAGCTTTGAACTCAGTTAAGAATGCTCTTAAACCTCTGAACCTATTTTCTCCACCTCCCGAGTGTTGAGATTATAGATACATACCACCATGCTCAGTTTATGTGGTGCAGGGGATCCAACCCAGGGCCTTGTGAATGCAGGGCAAGCACCCTACCTAGCTGTAACTAAGCTACATCCTCAGCCCAACACTTCATTTCTTATTCAGCATTAAAAAGCAGTAATAAAAGAACAGAATTTTCAATAAATGATTCAGTCAACATAACACGCATATCGAAAGGTCATGAAGTTTTTTTGACTTCTACCTACACAGATATGAATTCCAAGAAGGTTATAGCTTTAAGTATTTCAAGTAAAACAAAGGAGTGTCTATAGAATACATTCATGATCTAGTATTAGGGAAAAACTGCTAACAAGGACACAGAAGCAGTAACTATAAGAGGGTAAGGATGGGGGAGGGTCAATACATTTTAGTAATGTTAGAAGTTCTGTTAATCATGGGGCTGGAGAGCTGACTCAGTCTCTTGCAGAGGACCCAGGTTTGGTTCCCAGCACCCAAATAGTGATTAACAATCATTGGTGGTAATTCCAGTTCCAGGACATCCATCACCTTCTTCTGGCCTCTACATGCATTGCATGCATGAATGCACTTACATAGATGCAGGCACTCATACACATAAAATTAAATAAATGTTTTGAAAATTCTGTTCATTCAAAGACAAATTAAGCATATGAAAGGGTATTTGCAACAGATTTCATAGAATAACATCTAAAACCAAAGAACAGGAAAAAATAACAGATCAGTGACTAACTGGCAACATTTATACAGACAAAAAAGATATTTAAAGTAAGTTGGAAATAGCATATATGTGTTATATACATGATTTAATTAAACTTTCACAGATTTTTAATTCCCTTCAGAAACATGGTGTTTTAGTTTGCCTTCAATTTCCATGACAAAACACTCTACCAACTAGGGGAGGAAAGGGTTTATTTAGCTTACATCTCCTGGGTCACTGTTCATAGCTGAGGGAACCCAAGGTAGGAACTCAGGCAGGAACTTGGAGGCAGGAGCTGAAGCACAAGCCATGGAGGACCACTGCTTACTGGCTTGTTTCCCTAGACCTGCTCAACCTGCTTTCTTATACAACATAGGCCCACCTGCCCAGGCATGGCACCACCCACATCACTCAATAATCAAGAAGATGCCTCACAGACATGGCCACAGGCCAGTCCAATGGAGGCAATTCACCAACTGAAGCTCCATATACCTAGGCGTGTCAAGTTGACAACTAAAGCTATACAGGACAACTTATCCCTTGTCAACTTGACACACAAATACACCACTATTAAACCACAACCTTTCCATTTCTTGTCCCCAAGATATGATGTTAACAATATCACAACATAAGAGACAGTACAACCTTAAAAGTTCCACAGTCCTTAAAAAAATCCAAACACTTAAAAGTCCATACTCTCTTTTAAAAGTCTCTTTTAACTGTGGGCTTCTGTAAAATCTAAAACAAATACTGTCTTATTTCAAAAGGAAAGAATTGGGCACACCTAAGAAAACCCAATTCCAGCAAACATGGTCTCAGGTCTCAGGCTGGCCTCAAACTTGCAATGAGCTAAGGATGATCCTGAACTTCTGATCTTCCTGTTTGGAAGTGCTGAGATTGTATCTGGGACCACATCCAGTTTATATAGTTCTAGGGATAAAACCAAATGCTTTGTGCATGGTGGGCAAGCAATCTATCATCTGAGCCACATCTCTTGTCTTATTCTTAATTTCTTAGCAAAATGATGCTGGTAATAAATTTACTAATTTATCTTCCATCATTCAAAATTTAAGTCTTTTTAGCCAAAAGACTAACATTAGATAACAAGATAACATTAACTTATTTCCTTTTACAATGAAGACAATTTTTAAGAGTATAGCCAAAATATAACAATGACCTCAATGATGAAGCTCACAATTTCTTGAACCCTGTTTACAAACTGTATAGTGTGGCAGGAGAGACAGCTCAGTGGTAAAAGGAGCTTGCTATGCAAGCTTGGCTATCTTGAGTTTGATTCCTGGAACCCCTGTAATGGTGGAAGGAAAGAACTATCTCCAAAAAGCTATCCTTTAACTCTGACTCCCACGGGTGCATGCATGCACGCATACACACAAATAAATAAATAAATAAATAAATAAATAAATAAATAAATA